CCACTGGAGCTTATGTCCCTCACTGCAATTTTGTGAAGCAGCTCTCTGGGATTTCAGGTGTGAGTTTTTCCAATCCTATCTGGAGATCCTGGGCATCTGCATGTCTGCCTTGAGCCATAGCCCTTCCCGTGCTTGTGCCATTTTCAAACATGCCCACACACAGAGATGGAAGTAGCTAGCTGTAGGAGCCATGTATCTTTCAGACTTACTATTTGATCATCAGTGTAGCACCAGAGTCTGTTCAGTGGTTAAGAGTTACTGCAAAGCTCAACAGAAACAGCTCAACCAGTGACTTCTTACTGTTTCAATATAACCAAGCCAGAGATCTTCCTCTTAATGTTCCACCTTGAGGGTGGAAGTTCCAGAACAAAAAGACTGGGACCCAGTAGCCTAAAATACAGATGTGTTTGCTCTCCTCCCCACTGTCTCCTGGGATGCACCTTCAGACTGAGTGTAGGATCATTCTGTTTGAAGAGGAAGTCCCAGACATCAAGGGTCCCATCCATCTTGGTGGTGAAGAAGACAGCTGGCCGAGTAGTGCTCCAGCACCCATCTGTGAGGTAAGCCATATGGTATCTGCCAAAAAACACGTCACTGAGTTGGCTTCTTTTCCTAAGTAAGTTGCCTTTTGAGGGCTTTGCTCCAAAAGGTGGCTTAGATGTTAAAATGAATAAACGCGCACGTGTTGGGGGCTTCCAAAGGTTTCATTTTCAAAGAGTTGGTACCACACATTGCCCACTGAAAATGCAATTTTGTGTAAAGGTGGATGTTTCAGAGGGAGAGGCCGACAATTATGTGAGATTGCTACAATCAAGGGGCAACCAATGGGCTCCTCCTATTTTGTGATAGAAACAACACAGGAATCCCTGGGTTGTTCAAGTCCGGGATTCCATGTCTCCAGAAGATGAACATATCAAAAAGCTGGAATGAGGGGAGACACAGGTCAGTGGTAAAGCGCCTGCTTTGCATGCAGAAGGTCCCAACTCAGTCCCCACCACGCCCAGGTAAAGCTAGGAAAGGACGCTGCCCAAGACCCTGGATTACTGCTGCCAATTGGTATGAACAATGCAAGGCCTTTGGTGGACCAAAGGTCTGACCCAGTATAAACCAGCTTCCTAGGTAATCGATCACTAACTTTCCAGTTCTAATATAGGCTTTAAATTTAGCCCTGGGTGAGTTGCTTTCAGCCTTCTAGAGTCTCCTTTTGCCCTCAACATACAAAGGTACGGAGCTCCTAAAAGCAAGTCAAAGCATTAGTCTTCTCTAACTTGCCATTGTCTGTGCCAACTCAACATGAGGCCTTCCAGAGGTTTTGGACAACTCCTAAAATTCCTGACCATTAGCAATACTGGCTGGGGGTTACAGGTGTTCAAAACATCTGGAGGACACCAGGCTGTGCAAGGCTGCTCAGTGGTACCGGTGTCTCTGCCAGTGGTATCTCCAGCCCTACATGGAGGTGGCAGAAACTGAACTTGGCCCTGTCCTATGCACTGAGCCACATTCCCCCCTCAGGAGAGCCCACTCTTCATCTCTGCTGCCTCTTCCAACTTCCTGCAGCCCTCTCCAGTTCAAGAAGCCCATCAGGCTGCTGGCTCTGTTCAGGCTACCCTCTGAAGCTCGTAGATAGGCAAATAGCTTGGAGTGGGAGGATTCCACTAGCAGTTTTGGTTGTTTGCCCAAGTAACTGGTTTATAGCATGGTGTCTCCTCAAATCACCCCACAAGCAAATCAAAATGGCAATCAAATTAGGACAGGATTAGGACAAACACAAGGGATTGTTTCTTCCACAACCGAATTGCCATGTTGACATGCATGTGATGAATACACTTGGCAAAAATGGTCACGAAGTGGTCACCATCATTCAGGCAGGAATGATGGCCACATGAGAACTTCATAAGTTTGGACTGACACCACCAAGGCATTGATGGTTACAGTCATTAGTCTATGTAACTAATAGAATAATAATACTGTAATGATATCAATAATAGGACAAAATAATGTGCTACCTACCTAGTCCACATGATTGATGATTCCTTGCTCTCTTCTGACCAGATGCGTGCAGTCCAGTCCCCAACTGTCAAAAAGTTCTTGGGGTAGAAAGGATTCCTGGACAGGGAGTAAATGGGGCCATGGTGCCCACTGAAGGTGCAGACAATTTTTTCAGCAGCAGTCTTGGCTTTGCGATTGCAAGAGATCACCATCCCTTGCTCTGTGCCCACCATGAACTTGGTTGGCTGTGTGGAAACACAACAGAATGGCATTGTTACTTCCCCTGAGCAGGGAAAGCCCAATGAAGGCTTCCCTTCCCTTCCCAGCCCAGGCCAGCATGTGGTAAAAAGAGCAGAGATGAAATATTTTTGCAACTATTGCTGCAATGTGTATTGATAACAAAACCCAGAAATGGACTTGAGCAGGAACGATATCACCTAAGATTTTGGTCTGAAATGAGAGATTACTTGTTCTTGGTGGCCACCAAGTGGTGAACAAGTAAGAACTAAATGAATACAATAGTCACAATAGTCTTCACCCAACCACAACGTTCCCACAAAAAGAATCTGGCAACAGCTACTTGACCGAAAAATGAAGGTAGGAAGGCATTGCAGCACGGGAAAGAAGTGTACAGCTTGCAAAAAAATATGAAAAAATGTACATCTATTTATTAAATGAAGGATTCGAGATGATAGCAGCATTCCAACAGGGAGAAGAGGTAGCTTGGCTGGTGAGATGAACACTCCTCACTCAGAGGTAAAGCTAGGAAGGCCTGGGAGGAAAAATGTTGGTATCTGGGGAGAAAACTTCCCAGTTTTTCCCCATTTGCCTCCCAAGGGCCATTTCCTCCATAAAATTGGAAAAACTAAACAGCTTTAAATTGTGAAACATTTTTTCTTTTTGCATTTAAAAAGAGGTCTTCAGCTATTGTTACCAAAAGAACTTCACCTAAGTTGCCTAAGTAAGCTGCCCATTGTGAGCTGCCCTTGGCTATTAGGCAGTATAAAAATGAAATCAATACAATACTATATAATAAGAACCCTTTCACAGAAAGAAGAGAGATATAAAACATCTAGAAATAACAAAGTCATGGGGAAAATGCTTGATCTAATGTATTTTTATTTCTAGGCATTTAGGGATTCTCCAAGTTATGCCCTGTTTCCCAACACGTGAGTAAAGTCACCATATCATAATATGAAAGAAAATGCGTATTCTTGGTCCTCTGGATTTTAGTCCCATGTTCCTGGGCTTATTCTGATTAGATGCTGCAGCAGTGACATTTTCCCAGTGACATAGAACCTTATGCTCTTTGTTGTCTGTGTATTTTTTTCCCTCCAACTTTTGAAATGAAATGGGTATAGCAATGGTGCTGGTGTTTGTGTGTATACGCATGAGTGAAGTACTTTAAAAATTAGCCTCCCCGTTGGCTCTCCAAAAACCTGCACTCTCAGTGATTAAGGGTTTGCTTGACCATGTAACAAAGAGATAAAGATGATTATGAAGATTCAGTCACTGCTGGCTGAGCAAATTAGGCTGTTTACAAGCTGCAACTGATTTCCCACAACCCAGTGAAAGAAGCAAAAACATTCTTAGAAGATTTAATATGGCGGTAGAAAGTGTGTCCTCCCTCACATGGAGATGAACTACAAATTGCTATTTGTAGTTGCACGATTCCTCAATAAATGGATGAATTTACAAGGCACTGGTGCCCGTCATTATTGCCCTGGTAAGTCAATGGCAGTCTTGTGCCTCATACTGGGATTGAAAGAAAGAAGCCAAGTAATTTTATGACAGGCTGTTATGCTTGAAGGGATTCCAGGGGCATAAGGTGGCAACTACAGGGGCTGGAAGAATTGGCAATCTCCTTGTAATTCAACTAGGTTTGTGCTTGCCAAGGTAGGAGCTGAATTCTCTGCTGAACTCACTAAACAATGTTTGGTGGAATTTGAGCAGTCCTGCTCTGTGTTCAGTTTATGACAAAGAACCTCAGGTAGCTGGCCCAGAAAACTCTAGAAAACAGATCTACACCATGTGAATGTTTTCTGGATACATTCTTCATTTTGAAAGGGAGGGTTAATTACTTGGCGATACAGACTGTTCAGTGTGGCAAGTCTTTTTATCACTCTGATCTCCCCCGATGGATACCGAAGGTTAAGGTCTCATGAAATCTAATCCAGTCTCATGAAATTGTACTTCAACATGAACATTGGTACTCAGGTCAGAAAGATACATGAAAATATCTTCCTGCTGTCAGAGAAGCTGTTAGTTATTTCCAAACTATAAGAATTTCACTGTGCGTCACCTTATCCAACTCTCTTACTGCTACAGGTTACACACACACAAAAGTCTGGTTTGCTCCTCTGTAACTATTCCAAAATTCTAAGGGGAAAAATCCAATATGAAGACTGTGCATTGTTTATTACAGAGTCCTATTCTGTGCAGCCCTGGAATTTAAAATCTTTCCCTCTGAGCATGTTGTTATTGCAATTTCTCTCTTAAATATTATCTTCGATATTAAAAAACTCATTTTACATATCCTTTCTATTTTGGTCACCTATCCCTATACTTTGCAACTCAAACTAGATCTGGGTTAATACCCAAACCCTAAGAAGTAGAACAAGAAGACAAAGCCTTCCTTAGAGTTCACACATAGCACAAAAATTGGACAACACTCACCATGGTTGGCTCAAACTCCAGTGAAATGGCTCCTAAAGCATTTTCCAGGATCCCTTTCCTGCTGATGTCCATCACCAGTGTCTCGGTGGGCTCAGATAGTTTACGAATGTCCCACCACAAGACCTGTCAAAGAGAAATATTATTGCTGCAGTTCCCCCACACCCCACCCCCAGACCATATTCTGGGTGGCTTCTGATGGTCAGTCTCAAACTCATCAGGATAGTGATAATCTTATAACATCTGTTGTTGCACATACTAATGGCTAATTGATTCTCCAAATGCAGATCCTTCTGCAGCCAGGGGAGAGGCAGCCTTGAGAATGTGCGGAAGAACAAAAGCCTAAGTAGGGGGTAGGGGAATGGGATCCAACATAGCCCAGTGTGAACTGCAGGGTTTCTTGGGAGGAGAATAGAATGGAAAATAGATGTGGGGTGAACGGAATGGAGTATTCTGCAAAATGGCATAGCTGGCTAACTTGTTGAGGAGAGGCACTCTGCACCTGTTGCTTTTAGGAGATAAAAAATCTTAAACAGACTGAACCTTGGACATGCAGCAACAGCAGCAAACATCCATGCTATCATATGAATTGTAACCATCATGCGGATACCGTGGTCACCCGAACTGACCCTATCATGGACTGCAAGATGCTAATCTGAACCTCGGAAGCCTCATCATTGGCACTCGCGGGCCTTTCACGTGAACTTCAATTTCTGCGCCTTCTAGTAAGCACCTGTTTCCAAAACAAGTAGCGAATCTGTTTAGTCAAATGGGGTGGACATCGTGCCTCACTGAGCAAGGCCTGTATGATCTTTCTGAACACTCGTGTTTCCTGGCCTTCTCGAAATACCAGCTTGTCCTTGTCCTTAGCTTGAACCCTATGATATGCAGCAGGGGCAGCCAAGCTTAGGCTTGGAAACTGAGGCTCAGGAACGGCATCCTCTTGCCACTTGCTGCCCACAGCCACTGCCTGCGGCCGTCCCCTTGCAGCTCTCAGACACCTGGCACTTACTGTATGTGGCTCTGCTCTTGAGCAAGTTTGGCCACCCCTGCCGTATACCCCAAATGTTCCATCCAAACCTTTCGGATGTTAGTGTGTTTCATGCAAACTTTCCAGATCTTAGTGTGCTATACAAAAAGAACAAGAATGACAAAGAGACAAAATATACATAAAAGGACATCCTGATGGCTCAAGAAAGGAAAATTTGCTGCGTGCTAGAAGGAAAGGGGGAATTCAAAGCCATTGGCATGAAAGCACTGCAGAGTGGGGGGTGTTCATAGAAGAACCCACAAGTTGCCCGACCAACAACTGGGCTCACTGTGGCTTGTTCTTGTTATCCTTGGGTCCTGTAGATGGTATCCCAGTGTTCTTCACAGCAGAACCTGTCTGTTCTCCCCTTCTCTGCTCTGATTGATACTCCTTTTTGTTTATCACTATTTTGATATTTTTCAGAGACTGAAAAATGTGCAATTATCCAGGGGGGTTTTTTGCCCCAAAGTTGCACAACTGTGTTTCTTATTTTTCAAAAAACGTGTAGTCAGTCTTTTGCAAAGGGTTTGTTAGTATGTATTTATTTAATTCCATTTCTATGCTGCCCCATAACCCAAAGGTTCTCTGGGCAGCTTACAATGTTGTCTGATATGTATATTCTTGCCCGGTCTATTTCCATATTTGCTCTGAAAAGGATTCACAAAAAATATTTATGTGGGAGTTCATCTCTCTCCTTTCTGGACTAGCTGGCGATTCCGAGAAATGTCTTGAAGATGGAGGAATATCAATTCAACACTCACAAGAGGATTACATTGCTGAGTGGGAGATATTGTCTCCTCTCCCCAACAACTTTCGGTGCAACTTCCTTTGCTGTGCCCAGTGCTTTTCACAGCAGCAGTAACAGAGTGAAGCTGCAGCAGCCATGGCGCCTAGATGACATTGGACTATAGCTCCCATCATCAGGGATCATTGGCTCATCTGGCTGGAAAGACTGGTATCGGAGCCCAACACCACCTAGAGGCCACATGTCCCACACCCCAGCTGTGGACACTGGGTGTAGCCATTGTGTCGCCTTTCCCACACAAAGGCCATGAATTATGCAGCGGCTCGATGCGATCAAATACACGATCAGTGCTAATCCGGTTCTGGTTTTTACCTGCCCATCAGTGGAGCCAGAGAAGCAATCGGTCCCTGTTTTGGACTGCAGCCAGATGACATTGTAGGCAGGATCCCGGTGACTAAGCTCAACTGTGGTCAGTTCCACCGGAAGTCCTCCTTTCCGGGTGTCCCAGTAAGCTGAGGGGCAGTAAAGGGCAACTGAGAAACATCACCCACAGTGTTCCAGCGTCCATCAAGCCTCCCTGGTTTCAGATGAATATGCGCAGGGCTTTTTATACAACAATTCCCTTTCCTTTTTGAGGGTATTCAATATTTATCCATTTATCCTGCTATTTTCCTGGTGGACCATTCTTCTGGTAATGCCAGATGGCATAGAAACCCTAAGTGAGAAACTCAGAAAATGTCAGGACAGGTGCAGACACAGGAGTCCTCAGATTGGAGAGGTGAGGGATTCGATTTCCTTCCCTTTCCTTGGTTTTGTTTTGTTTCTGGTGTGTCCCTAGAAAGCTACAGCATCTCATATGGATAGGTATAGAAAGTGGTGAATTATGAGGTTTGAAATCAGGTTTACTTTTACATATTGAAGCCTGGTAGCATTGAGGGGAGGCCATCTCAAAGCAAAGTGATTTGACCTCCTGGCAAAACATGCCCTAAGGTTAGAAAGCGATCTGCCAGTCACTCAGTGCCAGTCCCATTATCAGCATTTAGAGAAAGAAAGCAAAAATTATTTTAATAGCCATTCTGCCTGCCATTCTCAACAACAAATTGCAAACAACACGTCATACAGGTTCCAGCGTTGTAGGGAAGCTTGTTTTGCTTCAAGAAGCAGCAGAAACAGTGTGAAGGGGTCCAATTCAGCTCCAGTTTAGGCAGAACGCTGTGCTCATCTTTGCTTTCTATTCAGTTTGTGGGCACAGGAATAGAAGAGCAAACACAAGTGTCGTACTGGCCCATTACTAGCCAGTCTCGTTTGTGGTGATGTGGCTTCTTTGTCTTAGCCAGAGAAGCCAGAGTAGTGGAGACGACACCTCCCTTGCACCAATACTGAAAGAATGTGAGGGGCTGCTGCACGGATGCACAAGGCAGCCCTGCCTCCTTCCCACCTAAAAAAAATGTGCAGTTGTCACACAACCTCCATTTGCATGCTTGGCAAATGGGTGCGTATACACTTGGGGTACTTGTTGTGATGCAGCGGCAAAAAGGGCAAACGCTATTTTGGGCTGCATTAGCAGAAGTATCACTTCCAAAACATGCCTATACTAACTACTAGTCAGACCTCACCTGGAGCATTATGTCCAGTTCTGGGCACTTAAGTTTTTAAAAGATGCCAAAAAAGCTAGCGGAGGGCAATAAGGGTGATTCTGGGGCTATGAGGAAAGACTGAGAGAACTGGACATGTTCCGCCTCAAGAACAAAAGACGGAAGGGTGATATGATAGCTCTCTACAAGTACCTGATAGGCTATCACAAAGAGGAAGGACAAGGTCTCCTCTCATCTATTCCAGAGTGCAGGACACGGAATAACAGGCTTAAGTTAAAAGAAACCAGCTTTAGACAAGACACCAGGAAGAATGTCCCCACAGTCGGAGCAGGACGACAATGGAACCTATTACCTGGGAAAGTTGTGGGGTCACCCTCACTAGAGACATTTTAAAAGTGTCATTTGAATGGAATGGTATAACTCAGTGTCGTACAATAGCAGGGGGCTGGACCTGATGGCCTTCTGGCCCTTCCAACTCTTCCTATTCTATGATTCTGTGGTACAAGCCAAATGCATAAATAAATCAATTGCCACCTTTTCCTGTACAACTAATTGACATGCCTTCATTCTATTGGCTGCATTGTTTTCACAAGACAGAATATATTTTTCAAAGCCCAGGCAGAAGTGATACTCACAAATCGCCTGACCCACACTGAAAGCAATGGAGCAACTTACTACTTTCAATGATGGGGGTGATTATTATTTAGATTTATAAGTTGTCTTTCTACATGAAAAAAATAAATGTGTACCGCTGGAGAACTTCACCCCGTGTCTCCGGGATATGCTTTAGCCCTCAAATCCATGTCAAAACAGGTCCCTAATCAAGCACTCATATGAAAGAGGTCTCTCTCCCCCGTTTATGCAAGCAGATTGGCTGCGTTTCCGCAGAGGCGGCAGGGACTTTCTCTCTCAATGACAATGAAGCACTGGAAGTGACAGGATGCATTTCACTGGCCCGTGACTGCATGCCTGAAGAGGCCTGTGAAGGACGAAGTGAAATCAGCTCTGCCTTCCATCACCTATGAAGAGCCTGATAATGTCCCTGTAACGTGTATCCTGTCATATCCAATTGCTGCTGAAAACGGCAACCGAAATATAAAAGGCAATGTAATTAAATTAAAGGGCACAGGAGACTGAAAAAACTAGTGGAATCGTAAATAGACCTGGCAAACAGGGACCTCACGGCTTGCTTAAAACAATGGCACATTCTTGTTAATCAAATGGGGCAATTATGAATAATCGGGCTATAAATGTCACAGAAACAGCTCCACTTTGTCCATGGTCCCCCCTCTGAACAGGATCTCCAGAGCAGCCTTATGAGTACAAAGGTGGCCTGCACGGTCAGAACCAGCTAAAAGACAGGTTGCCATCTGTGGGAGAAATCATTCCACTGAGAAAAGATTAATATTGGCATAGTCAAGCCATGCAAACCAAGGCTAATTCCTGTCGGGAGCAGGAGTCCCTCAGCAGTATTTGTGAGATGCTTCAAAACATGGGGAATGCTTAGAGCGGGTGGGCCAGAGGTCATCTCACCCAGTTTCCTGCATCCAGCTGTGGCAGTCCTCACTCGAAAGAGGAACACGGGGGCCTGGGAAAGCAGCATGCGCGTGCAGTCAGAGCTTTGTTTCCTGTTTTCTTTTGAGCAGCCCCCACTACAAGCAAGGCATTCTACTGTTTAGGTTTATTCTTTAAAAACTGCCGGTCCATCTCTTGGGCAGGAAAGGCTTGTGCTGAGCTGCTCACATGATTCTGCAAGTGGGAGACATCGCTGTGGTGTCGAATTCTCCTCCCGAAATGAAGCATGAATTGCCATCATGGGTGTAAACCCCTGCTCCACAGTCGCTCTGCCTCCTCGCCACTGCGTGTCCCCCTGACTCTTGTTCTGACCCTTTCAGTGACGAGGAAGAGGAGCAGGTGCCCCTGCCTCCTTGCTCACCCTTTCTGTGCCTGTCCAGCTAGCTAGCAAGCAACGGAATTGATGAGAAAGGATGAGGAGCCAGAGGAGCAGGTGACAGTGGCAGCGAGAGGGTTGAGCCACTGAAGGAAGAGGCCAGTGGAAGACTCTTTGCTCCCCAAAACCTGGAATGGGCATTGCTCGTAATGCCTGTTGAGGAAAGAGAGTGCAGGAACAAAGTACTCTGCTCAACACAGAGTGTTGGTGGGCAGCATCCAGTCGTAGGTCATTCAAGGGCGCCTCTCCTCTGCTACCCTCCTTGAAAGCTGCCTAGAGTCAAACAGCAGCTAGATGAACGCAGTGATGGCTGCAAGTGGGCCAGTGCCAGGAACGTCAGGGAAAAGTAGCTAAGGAATGGTGGGTGGGTGGGAGCACACAGCTGTGAACCCAGGCTGCATGCCAGATTCACCACAGAAGCACTCTGAGCCCACACCCCAGTGGGATTTTCTTCAAATGTGTCTTAACAGATACCACTGGTTGAACAAGAATGGATAACCATGGAAAAGCGTCTTTCCAGATCGGCGCAGGTAGGCAATCTGGGGCCTGCATGCAGCCTTTGGCCGTTCTCTGGGCAGCCTCTTGAATCCCAGCATGCCTTGTCCGCAGCCCACTGATCAGCCCTCAGCTGGGCTGTGGGGGGAAAGACGGCAAGCTGGGAGGTGAGCTCAAAGCCTCCCTGGCAGCAATCTTGGTGAAGACTGGCAATAGCAGGGAGGAGACGGAAATGTTGCCCACATCAGGAAAAGCTTCTGAAGAAACGCTAACCTCAGCCCTCTCCCACGATCCCTGCAGGCAGGGTCACTGGCCTGTGCAGGGGATTTAAAGTTTCTCCCCTATCCTGAACCAGACTGCAGTGCAGTAACAAAACACAATCAACACCATTGAAAGTGCATGCCTCAGTCACACATGTCAATTTCCGCTGTATCCTTTCCTACACTCTAGAAGTTGGGGTAGCTTAGTGTGGATCACAGGCAAAGCCGGTAGGGGCAGGAGTCAAGGCCCATATTCAGCACCACCCCCATTTCTTTTGTTTTGTGGGGGTCACCTATTTCCTCTTACCAACTTGTCCATTGTAGCATCCTCCAATCAGGATATGTGAGTCCTTGGGGTTGTACTCTAAGCAGACGAGAGGTGAGGAGGGCCGGATAACCAGTTCTGGTTTGTTGGGGATTTCTAAGAAAGGGAGAGAAAGAAAGCTTGCTGTACTGAAGAGCAATGCACTGTATGCATGATATAATTCTCTCCAGATTTCCAAGTGCTAATGTGAGAGGTGCAAGATGTCTCTGTGTCACTTCCCCCCCTTTTTCTACCTACCTACAGACATGCATGTCTGCTCCTGAGTATGCCTGAAATGAGGGCGAGTTTACCTGAAAAGCGCAGGTGGAGTGAGGGGCCAAACAGAAGAATGGGAGGCAGAACCAGGTGTGAATAGCCTGAGAAGCTGCATCACAAAAATAACCAGGCTGCAAAAGGCTTTGCTATACCGCTAACTGGGGCTAGTAATGGAAATGCAGGCCACTCATTTCTTGGCAGGTTAGTTAAAATATCATCTTCTACCAAAGATAATGGCAGAAGAAAAACTGAGGAGTCCAACCTCCCTTGCCCGCTCACTATGCTTCCGTCGCTGCTGCTTTTCCTCTGAGTTTGCTGTGGAAACCAAGTAGGTTGTGGAAGAGCGGCACAGTAGTCCATCCCTCCTGCTGCTCCTTTGCCTGCATGGAATACCTGGCTGCTTCTGGCTACCAGGCAGGTTCCCAAAGACAAAGCTACTGGGAGTCTGGCAAAATTGGGGTCAGGGAGGCGGTCTGCATCTCCCATGGTGTGTCGGATGGGCAGGGCTGGAAGGAAGAGTCCTACCCTGTAGACCACATTCGAGATGGACTCCAGCCCTGGCTAGGAAAATGATGCAAAAGCCACCATGCCAGTCTTGCCTCCTCTTACCAAGATCCCATATGTATGAGTCATAGCTCATGTTTTTGGAACTCCGCTGGAATTCAAGGCTAGCATAAGATACTGCCAGTTTCCGGCTTCTGTCAGGGTGCCAGGAGAGATGGGTGGCTGTTCTTTTGATTGAGTTTGGGTCCCTTTGAATAAAGCAAAATACAAAGACATGAGCATAGGCCAGGGCTGCAAAACCACTTTCAACCCAAGGGCCACACTCCATTTCAGAAAAGCATTAGGGGACCACAGTGAGGTAGAAGAGAGGGTCAAAAACAAAAGGGACAGAACTCAGAAGATTAGCATATTACAGCCTAATGCTCACGGTGCCAGTAAATGAACGTTACGAGAGGCATTGCAACCATTCAGAATAGGGAAAAATCACAAGAGCCATGAAGCCAGCAAATGATAAGTAGATGAGGTCAAGAGAAGTGGCATGGCCCCTGGGGGACCCCTGACGGCTGGATGGGACCCCAAGAGGGCAATTTTGCCCCTCCCCCAACCTGGGCTTCTGCACTCCTTCTCTATGCCTTTCTCAGGTCCCATTGACTTGAAGCTCATCCGGATGATGAATGCTCATGCCCCAGTCTCACTACAGCCTTTATGGTATAACCTTCCCCTTTCCATTCCAAGGCGGTGGCATTCTATCAAGTTAATCTGTAATAAAGGGAATGGAGTGAGGTAAAGGGGGTGGCACCCTATGCCCCATGCTGAGGTTCTCCTGCCACTCCCTCTTCACGGCCAATTTTGTTCCTGATGGGGCAAGCAGAGATCTGGGAGCAGCTGCCAGTAGGGTTCCGGCCAGTGGGAGTGGGTGACTCCAATGTCAGTGAACAGTGGCTCCAGGTTGCAGCCTGCGCATTTGTCCATCGTGCTAAGCCTAGTTTGGGGACAGGGTTCAGCACCATGCATAGCTCCTTTAAAGTTCACGCAAAAAACCAGAGTGGAGCCACCAGCCTCCGCTGGTTATGGGAAAAGTGATAGGTAGGTGAAGGATTAATGATCCTGTCCTCCACCTGCTACTCGTTACCCTCTCCCTGCTCTTCCTTCCTGCAGTTCTTTGGTGGGAACAAGTCTTTTCAGTCCCATGTCTACCACTGAACATCAGGTTCAGCCCTGAGTAATCTTGAAGAGGATAAATGGAAGGAAAAATCTCCTTTTAATAAGCCCATCCCAGGAAGTTAACTGAAAATAGACAGGAATTTCTTCACAGTTCTTGCTTTCAGGGACCATCAGTGGATAACCATTGAAAGTAACATGTAGCTATAAAAAAGGGGGAATCAATCTAGGAAAGGCAGTCCCAGCCTTCAAACGTAGACTGTGCAGATAATGTAAGATGAATACAGAACACTGTAGCTTCAGGAATGGCTGCTGCAGCCATGCTTGCTCCTTTGTTCGTCAGTCCAGGAACCAGCTAGAATAGCCATTATTTTAAGATAATCTCAGGCCGAATTAGAAACAAATCCTCAAAGCATTGTGGCTTTTGGCTACCAAAATCACCTGAAGACATTGATCGTTTTTGCAGATGGAGGTTCATCTGTAACAACTGCTGTCTCTTCTTCCTCAAAGTATTCTTCATAGATATTGATAGCATTGTTCTGTTTGATGCAGTGATCCATCAGCTACAAAATACAAAATGAAATCAATGACTGACCAGAGACAAAACATGGGGTTGATATTATGGGTGGATGGGGTTGGGCAGAACTTCAAAGCAGGAAAACAGTCTGCCATGCTTTGTTATAGGATGGGGTAGAGCCCGAGGGCCAGATTCAATTTTGGAGAAACTCTTTGGGGTTCAATTGCAGTTGTAGGTGGGGCTGAATATTCACCACCACGGACAACTCCTATATAGCTCAGAACAAAAGCTGCAATGAATAAGGTGCCCATCCCCTACAACTAAGCCATAGGAGAGCCGTTTCAACCAATTACAATGGGGAAAGTCTGCACAAAACCATGAAACCATCAAACAATTGAAGCTTGGGAGGAAGGAGTGAGGGATCCGGGAAATCCCACAGTGCCTGGTTAAGACCCCAGATGGCTGGTCCTGGCTGTCAGGTCTGACATTTCCCACTCCTGATAAGCCAATAGGGTGAAGCTAACAGAACGTACACTGCCAAGTTGTGTAATAACATTGATATAGTTCTCATCTTTTTCAACTTTCTTCCGGAAGCGAATGGTCTGCTCCATTTCAAGTGGGTTGACATCTTTAGGCCAGCCACCTTCCACATGATTAATGCCCCAAGTTTCCATTTCATACCTTTCTGTGTTAACCTAATGCAAAGGACAATCACAACAGCCTTCAGTTTAAAAACACACAAACCTATCATCACTGT